ACATTCGAATGTGTGTTTTAAAAATGTATGGCTAGGGTCATGTGCCCTTTCAAATGACCCTAACCGTCCCCCCCGTTTGTCTTTCCGGACTTAGCGTCCTCATCTGTAACCAGGGTTAAGTCCAAATCGGCGGTTCTCAACCTGTGGGCTGCAACATCTTTGGGGGTGGTGGTTTGCATATCAGATATTTGCATTATGATTCATTACAGTAGCAAAATTGTAGTTATGAAGTAGAAATGAAAAATAATTGTATGGCTGGGGGTCACCACAACATGAGGAACTGTATTTAAAAGGGTCGCAGCGTTAGGAAGGTTGAGAACAACTAACTGGTCTAAATTAACTCGGCCCTTTACAGAGAAAAATAGAGACGGAAAATGAGTTTCAGGCTTCCACTGAGTAGAGGATCAGGAACTGTAATCAACAGTATGGTCCCTACACCTCGTAGGGTTGTTACAGGGTGTGGTACAGTGTTAGCATAGACAAACAGTCCCAGGACCCTCAGACACTCCTGTGCATAGGCACCAATTGGGGGTCTTGGGAAAAGGCAGATTCTGAGGCAGCAGAGGTCCAAGCTGTCGTTGAGAAGCGCGGCCATGCCCACACACAAAACCAAACGTATCCTGCCAGTATTACCTTGTGACTTGACTATGCTACTTTATAATTCTACTTTATTCACGCGTTTCTATTTCACTGTGACAGACGAACAGCAGTGAGCGCACTGTCAATTTTGTTTGTAACAGGAGAATATTACCTATGATGCCTTTTTTAAGCTGAACTGATGCACAAATGGTAAAAACCCAAGAACCCAAGCAATAGAAACAGCATGGAAACTTAGTCAAGGACCTTTCTTATAAACACACACGGAACAAGGCAAAGCAAGCTCAAATCAGAAGGCAAGCAACTGGCTGTCTACACAAGAATAACTTTACTTCATGCTACTAAGTTACAGGACAATATTCAAGTGGAAATGCTAAATCCATTCTTTAGTGTTCTAAACGTCATCTTCTGGTTCTCTTAGCTCAGTTTCAAATCACATGCTATTGGAAACCATGCAGTATGAATATGCTTAAAGGCATATACTCAAACATTTATAGTAGTTTCAAAAGTGCAGAGCTACAATTTTGTTCCCCATATTAGCTATAAAAGTTAACACAGAGACAAGCTCCCTGATTTCACGTCTAATCTTTGGTTGCAATTGTTCGGCTCTTGTCTAACCCTCTAAGAAATAAAACAACAACAAATGGTAACACTTGAGGTCTCAATCCACTTTACGAAAAGAAAGCTTTATGGAAAAGCCTGAACAATGAATTTAAACATTAAGGAGAAAATGAGGAAACGTTAGGTATGTGAAGTAGAAAATGTTAATTTCATGCACTTAGGAACACACACTCACACCCCACAGTAGTAGAAGCAGTAGAAGAGGAAAACACTACATGTGTAGGGGTAGAAATATTTGTTACATCATGATGCTGGCTGGCGATGGAGGGTTGTCGCCTTAGAGCCCCCTGAATGGAACTTCCACTCTGGAAAGCATTCACTACATCCATCTGCAAGGAATCAGAGATTGTGACAGCGTGCTGAGCAAGAGAGAGAGAACAAGAGAAAGGACCGTTCCATCTACCAACATTTAAAATGTAAAGAAAAAGGCACTTTACAGAGCAGATAAACAGGCCAGAGTAGCATTTGGAGATGAAAGGGGGGGGGGGAGCTTAGGGCGTATAAGAGACATTTTTTCATAATCAGTTAAGAGCTTCACCCAGTTCAGCCATCCGTAGGTTTCAAAAGAATATATTTTGCGGGGTTGGGAAGGCTGGAGAGGCAGTTCAAAAGCACAGGTGGTCTGGACCTCTCCCCAGATAGAATCCTTACTCCCATCAGGTTTCCTACCTCTCTACCAGACCCATACCTGTGTTTGGATTCTGTTCAGACCTCTAAACCACAAGATCTGGCCACGCCGCAACTCCCTTTCGGCATGATCGATCTCTTCAACATCCTCAGCTAGCTCCTCCTCGGGTATTTCTTCCTTCTGTGTTCCATGACCAGCTTCTTTTAGGAATTTTAAACGGCTAGTTGGAATTGTTGAAATAAGCTATAACACAGGGGAAAGATCTTAAGGTGTTATTAAAAACTGCAGGAGTATCCACTTATTTTTCACTAGTGAAGCAATGAGACTTCAGAACAGAAATCACTCAGTTACAGAAAAGACCTAAGTTCACAAGGCAAAATGTTTTCTGAATACAAGTTAAGTTGACGGTATTTCTCATACTTTATCTTTAGACATTCATGACATTAAATCGTACAACCATATTTTACTGTGTCTATATGTATAAAATCTCCACCTGAACTCATTATTGATTACATTTACTTCAAGTAAAATGAAATGGCGTGTGGTCTTACTGGGTGCAAAACAAGCTTGTAATCCACTATTGCTATAAAAATTCAACAAGTAAAAGAATAAGAATTCAGGAAATCTTTAAGGTTATACTGAAATAATTCAGGTTACTATTTTTATAAAACTTAGCTATCTAAATTAAATCAACACTGATCAATAACAGCAATACATAACAGTAGATGCCTCCACAAACATGAGCATTATCAGAAACATCAATAATACATATTAGCGTTTGAGCGTTAACAGGCAATACCTATGAAGTAGAGTTTACCAAGGGGAAACGAAGCTACATTCAGACACAGAACAGCCTGGAGAACTTCTCCTCCTGCCATATGAGTTCACAGAGGTAAAACAGGATCGAATTTGTGAAGCAACCTGCTCACGAAATGGTTAAGATTCCAGGTCTCCCTGGCACCAAAGTCAGGGCTTTTTTTTTTTTTTTTTTTTTCAAAGAATCACACACTTGAAATCAACAAGACAAAATCAATGTAAGCCTGCTGCTGCTGGCTCTGTATGTATGCAGCACTGAGTTTTTCTTCTTGAAATTAGCCAAGTTTTTAGGTTGCAGGCTTGTGCTCTGCCTAACAGAGAACACTGTGAAATAATTAGAATGGCAATCAAGAAAGAAATGTGGACCAATTAGGGATCACTGAGAAAGAGATTTTTAAGATAATAAAAACCATGTAGAACCCAGAAACACAACTACGAAAAACATAAAACCCGAGTTTGGTTGATCTGCAGAATGACAATGAATGCGCTCACACAAGTTATATATATATCTGTTAACACGTGACCCTGTACTCATGGACGCGTCAGTACCGATTGTCCAGCAGCTCGCTTGATACTAGTAACAACAGCCTGCTGGTGAACACTGCGTACGTCAGGACCACTCATCTCTCAAAGAACGGCGTGCAGCGGCAGGTAAGATGACTATCCGCAAAGCTGAGGCGGATCCGACTTTCCTGGCCTTTTCACTGATAGACAACTGTTAAAACTACTGCAGTGCCTTAAAATCCCGTTTTGTGGCTCGGGTTTTTCAGGTATGCACTCACTATGTAAGGCTCAAAATTTCTCCCAGGCTTTAAAAGATATTAAATTCTACAGCAAAGCAATGAAGCATGCATATCCTGAAAATATGAAGGCAGGTGGTAAAGGCACACAGGCATTACCATTCTAACCCGTCATATACACGCCATGGTTGTAACGCAACAAGCTCCTCTAAAACCTTAGAAACGAATACAAGTCCAATGAGCGTAATAAACAAGAGCCACCTCGGAAGAGCCACTTAGGAAAGGGACGAATCCCATGTCACTCAAGTTCCCTTTTGTAACTCAAGTGGTAACTAGAACAAGTAACAGAAATGGTTGAAAGTTAAAAAAAAAAAAAAATTACTTTAGGTTTTAACAAAAACAGTGAGATTTTTACCTGGCCCCAGAGTAAGGTCCCCATTCCCAGGAATATTGACCACAGCCACTGTTCTATTGAAAGTTCTGAGCAGCTGAAAGGTTTCCCACCAAACTGCACAATTAGTATCTGGAGGAATAATCGAGAGTAAATTTATTTAAATGACAACTAAAATAAAGCAAAATCTTTGCCCCAAGTTTTAAATAGAGTAAATTACGCTTCTTGAAAATAAAAATCACATGACCAAAAGAATACCTTCATGTTCTTTCCTATATTATCCCAAATAACTACATTCTTTGGTGTGCTTTCAACAGTTTAAGCCTTTCATGGAAGGTCGTGTCTTGTGGGCAGTACCACATGCCATGGAGACACATGTGGACAGAATATGCCACCTGGTTTCTTTCCTACACAGCAATCACTCCTTGTCGACATTTACATGTTAAGCCAACTACGCATGCTCTGTAATAGAAAAAAAGCAACCTGGCGAAGCTAGGAAGTGTGTGTTAGCTCTGCTAGTGTGTTCAACAGCGAGAGTAAAGTCCAATGACACACATACAGAAAAGTCACACTACGATGCTTGTGATTCCTTCCTGGTCCTTAGTGTTCTACAGTAGTATACCTGGGAACAGTTAAGTCAGCAGCAAAATATTCACCTTTGTCTGAGTATGACAATTCTCTCTGATATAAGGAAGTAGCTGTGAAATATTGAAATTTAAAAAAGGTAATTTTGGTACTGAACAGTCGTTACCTTTTTTTATACTTTTAAAAAGCATTACTAATTTCATGCTTTGCATTTATTTGTTAATTTCATTGCTTTTTAATGTCAAGAATATTTGTCTATTTGTCCAGATAGAGTCGTCACTGGTTTGCTAGAAGCCTAGCATGATAGCTGATATTATATATATTATAATGTTATAGTATTATAACCATTAAAGCTGATTTGGTAATGAGCTCTGCATTTTCATAAAGGAATGACAGTGAAACAGTTTTTCTTTTGTAAACAAAGAAAACAGGGAATGGGAAAATATTCAGTGTTTCTAGTTTTTTTAAAATTGAAAGTTTTATCTTTGGGTGATGGTTTTTTTTTTTTTTTTTTTTTTTTGGTGTAATGAGGTGTGAAGGGAAGGCATTAAAATACTGGGACAACCAATAATTATGTGACTGGCTGATTTGGTCTCATTAAAAATAATTCTTTACTTTGTAGCCGAAAGAAATAAAGCTATTTGCTGAGGCAGCTCTGGAACTGACTTTTGAGAAAGCTAGAGAGAAGTCGCCATAGTTTTCAGAATGTACCTGAAAGGAACATGAAGCTGGACAGACATCACAAGTTCATATACAGAAGCTCCCTCCTGGCTGGACTCATCTGCAGAACTAAGTACCTGTTTGTTGACTATGTTTCTTATAATCTAAACCCTCCTTGCCATGTACTCACCTGGACCACAAAGGTGCCTAAAACAATAGTGCAGAAGATGGCATTATTAAAGATTCCTTCAAACACGTTTCTTTCACCGTGAATTTTCCGGGCATTTATTTCATTGAAAAGCTGCATCAGCACAAAGGTATTGAACACAATAGTGTAATGTTCGGAGGGGGGAGCGTGCAGAGGAGCGTTCCTTCCACTGTCGATATCAAAAAACTTCTCTCCTGAAATGAAAAGTCACCAAAATTTTGCAACTATCACTGAAAGAGCGTAACATGTTTCAATGAAGTGCATCATCACAAAGCTTGGCCAGTCTCAGGGCTGGCATGGAGCCTGGGATTATCTGGTGCAGCTTCTGTTTTACAGATAAGGAAAGTGAAACCCCCTAGCATTATGGGGACAAGTCAAGATCACAGATCTAAAAGTGGTGGAGCCTGGATAAAAGCTAAGCCTCTACCTACTTCCCCCACCATCTCATCACTCTCCCCAAACGGAGTAGGCAACATGAAAAGCAAGTAAAAATTTAAGGTATGTGGAGGCAGGAACAGAACTGAGGCTTCCGAAAATTCTGTCACACTATACTGAGTGACAGTAATGTGTTAACAGAAAACAGTTTAACTGAAACTTTCTCACAGTGAACTCTTACCAGCAAATAAGAGTGTAAAAACCACTACGAGTTGGTAGAATGCATGACCCAAAATATTCTTCATCATTGTGCGTGAGATTAGAGGCTTATTTCTACCATAAGGCTTCCGAAGCAGGAGTGACTCGGTAGGAGGTTCCGTTGCCAGGGCCAGGGAAGCCAGGGTGTCCATGATGAGGTTGACCCACAGCATCTGTACCGCCTTAAGTGGTGAATCCTGGAAAAGACAGGCTTCCTAATACACATTCACAACTGGGCAGGGAGGCAGCGACTTTCAGGAAGCCTTTAGGGTTACAGAGACTTAAGGAACAAAACAGATTACACTTTATGTTAATTAGCCTACAATATAAAGCATCTTACTTAAATACTTAAGGACTTTAAAAAGGCAGAGCATAAAATTTTGGCTTTGAAATAAATAGTAACAGTCACCTACTTGAGTAATACAAGCGCCCGTGAAAGCAACAATCACTGCTACTACATTAACAGTAAGCTGGAACTGAAGGAACTTTGAGATGCTGTCATAGACATTTCGTCCCCACATAACTGCTTTAACAATGCTTGTAAAGTTGTCATCTGTGAGAATAATATCAGATGCTTCTTTAGCCACATCAGTTCCAGCAATGCCCTGTTAAAAAAGTCTGTGAATTAGACTAGATGTTTAAAAAATAACTTCACACATGCAAATGTGCACCATTATTCTTAATAAAAAATAATCACACTTAATGATAAAAGAAGATAGTACTGTCATTTTAAGATGCCACCGAGAAAGACACTCAGGCTGAGAAGACATCGTACATCAAGAATGAGGCATGAGAAGCAAGATGCAAATGGTGTTGCAAATAAAGGGAGGTCTCTTCCCCAGTCATGCAAAAAGTGTATTAAAAATACTAAGAGAAAAAGAGTGGACATGAAGGTGGGGGGCGGGGAGGCATGTTGGGGGGGATCAGAGAAGTAAGAGAGGTGAAATGGAGGAGGTGGATATGATTATTATACACTGTATACATACGTATGACTTCTCAAATTTAAAATATTACTGTAAAATTTTAGAAAATATTAAAAGTGATTAAATGTGAGGGAAAGGAATGTTTGCAAGAAAACCATAGGGACTGGAAGCACATGATGAATGGCAAGTAACTCAGGAGACCGAAGGAATCTGAAGCTTAGGCCATCAGTAGGGAAAGCGGAGATGAAGTCTTTCTTCCCCACTACAGAATTCCTATAAGGCTCAAGCCCTGCACACTTAGAAACAGATGAAATGAGAGACACTCTTGAAGACCTGAAGACACTGAAGAAGCCATGAGAAGCCTCAGATTAGTAACACTGTCAACAGTAGAATGGGTAGATTAACAGACTATGGGTTCATAAAAACGAGTTAACTATGCCTATAAACATCCCAGATAACTTTCATATACTGGTGTTGAACCAAAGATGGACACAATGCATGTAACTTTGTATAGTTTAAAACAGGCAGAAGCAATGAGCTCCAGGAGTCACAGGACAAGGGAACTAGATCTCAGAGCTCTCTCAAATTCATATCTCTAGGCAGGCTGTCACTGCTACTCCATGGCCAGATTCAAGCAGGTCAAGGGGTGGGGCAGAGGGATACTAAGCTAAAACTGCTAAGATCACTAACTGTCTCTGAGTCACTGCAAAGAGACTCTGGGAATGAGTGTGTGCCAAGTATGTTAAAAATTATGGAAAAAATTAAGTGAACATCAACAAAAAAATAATTTGTAGGGAATACGAAAAGTTGTACAAAAAAAGGAAACATAATTGTAGGGGATCATGAGGCCTGGGATGGAATGGCACTGTTACAAGCAAGAAGACTGATCTAACCCAAATGATGACGTAGTACTAATGGCAGGACAGGGGGAGCATGAATGTCCATGGAGAGAATGTGGTACTGTGCCTGTGTTCAGTGTTGAATCCTCATCTTCCTGGAAAAGCCAGTAGTCAATGCTTTGTATGGTGACAAAGCACAGGAGTCATATGGTTTATACGTATGGGGGGGAAAAATAGCTAAAATAGTCGTTTCCTTTTGGGAGTCAAAAAATAAGGTGAAAGAGATGGCATGTGGTAGGAGCATTTGACACCAAACTTGAAAGCTGTTACAGACACTGGACGGCTCAGCAGGAAAAGCCGAAATGGAGCTTGACTCCAAGCATTCCGTTAGAAGCAACTATGATCTAAATTTTCAGTCTCTAGGTCTCCCTCTTAGCTTTACTCTCTCAATTCCAGTCATTTTTATAGGTTGTAAATGCAAATCTCTTCACGTCTTTGTTCAAATCCTTACCAATTTGATAGTTATAAACGGTTAATTGGTATTCAAAGAAAACTTAATTCCACAGACAACTATGGTTGGGAAAACTTTGGATCAAAACAGACAAGAGTTTTTAGTGAGTCCTCCAGTGTGACACAAAAACACACGGACCTAAACGGATTCATACTCTACCAGAAGTCAAGTTTTAGCAAAAAACGGTTACAAGACCAAGCCACCCAAGCACTTATTCCTTCCCTTTACTTTTAAAGTCAATTTAATTTTTTAAATTTAATTTCAAGTTGTGCAAAACCCACTACCCATACAGCCTGTGTGCTGCATTTCTTTTTTGTTTTTACGGGTTAAGTTTTGCTAACAAGTATCTAAAAACTCACAATGTCCGTCTTATGCCCAAGTTTTGAGGACAAAAATCATTTGTTCTACGGATCTAGTTTTGCCATCCTGGTTAGCTATCAGGGTCATAGCAGCAGTGAGACTCTGGTAAGTGCTGTGGTACAACAACTGGTGGCCGTGACATTCCGGAAAGGAACGATGCTGCTTGCTTAAAGCACAAGGCAGAATCTGAAGCATCCCTTGGCCCACTTCTGGAATTCTTCCCCAGATTTCAACATCTCACGTCAATACCGCGTCTAGATAGGGGTAGGGTGCGTCTCTTTGGAAACTTTGCTTTTGCTTGAGGGGAAATCTACTCATATATTTCCTCTTACCATCTCTCTTAATTAAATCCTACTATGAGTCTTCCTTTAAATCTCTATTTTAGCAAAGTACTGAGGACAATTATGCACGTACACACTAGTGCACAGAAACATCTTCATACCTGGAACCCTTAGTGCCAGGCTTTTTTTCAGAATTCAATGTCTCTTACACTTTAGGAGAAGGAGGCAAATTTAGCACCCCTTTAAAAAATTAATATTTCTACAATGGCCATGGACCGTCACATCATGCGGAACAAGTAGCTCTTCAGAAGAGATTTTTATAGTCCAATGTAAAACTTTCCAGTCCAGAGCAAAAAATAAAGACTAGGCTGTATGTATATTAAACAAAAACATTCAGATATCCAGTAATTTTCTGGTTACGTTTTGGATTTGACAATTAGGATCATGGACTATTATTTTCTAAAAATAAGACAAAGAGTAAAGAAAATACTTTAGTCGAGGAACAAGCACCCCACCCCCGCCCCCTTTAAAGCAACTCTCTGGTATGTAGACTCTAGCCTGACAGACTGTGTAAGGCATCAAAGAAGAAGGGCAAACCGTGGAGGGTGAAGGGCCAGCAAGAGGGAGGGGGGTGAGTAAGAGGGCAATGGCTATGTGTGAATATGAGCAAAGCACGCTGTATGCACGTGTGAGGATGCCATAATGAAACACATTTTTACACACAGGAGACTGCATGTCTCTTATAAAATGATGACACTCAAGTATCCTTTAAAAGCCGTGAGGTCACCATTGTGATCCGCTTGTTTACGAAGGTGGTTCTAAAGAGTCAGGTGAGTTGACACATGTTTCAATGTTTCGCAGAGCACAAAGCAAATGTATATTGTTAACAGTTGGCCAAAGAAATCATCTTCTAGCCAGACTTCAAAGTATCTAATAGAGCGAGCATATAAAATAGACAGATCAACTCACTCTGGCTTATCCTTTTTCTCTTAAACTAGTTTTGAGAAACACTGTTTAAAATCAGCAGTAATTTTGGCAACAGATAAGCAGACAACCCAGCTAGCCAACTGTACATAGATACGTGAGTAAGCAGGTTCCTACCATTGCAAATCCAACGTCTGCTTTCTTTAGTGCAGGGCCGTCATTTGTACCATCACCAGTTACAGCCACAACCTGACGTTGCTCGGAGACAGTGCTATCAATTATACCTTAAACAGAAGGAAACATTTGTGCTATAAAAACGCTTTGAATGAATAAGGTGATTCCGTAGACTATCCTGATTAGTCCGTTTCATAGACTCAAAGTCAAAAAATACACTTAAGCAAACATAAAAGTATAAACTACTTAGCCATGGCGCGAAGATCAATTCTAGAAACTAAGGTTCTATTGAAGTAGTAATCATGCAAGATGAACGTAACTGTCCAAAGATATCAGAAGGAAATATCCATTTTACTAGAAAACTGCTCTCTGTGACTCCATTTAAGATTCAGGGTTTGTTTT